CCCCAAAACCCCAAAACCCCAAAACCCCAAAACCCCAAAACCCCAAAACCCCTATTCTATAAAAGAATAGAAAAATAAACTTCTAATAAAAATGTACATTCATCCGTTTACTTCTCCAAAGGTGGCTGCAACCCCTTTATCAAACCTAGCTCCCCTCAGCTCTAATGCTAGAGGCAGTCTTCTGCAACCCAGCAGAAGGATTTCTAGAAGAAGCGGCACAGATACTCGACATCGTGCTTGGAAAACAGGGTCGAGAACTTGCCATAGAGGAGTAGAGTAAGGAATTCCTTCTTAAGACGCTCTTTCTTGCTATTTATAGATATATCCTTTAGTTAGAGAACCGAACTGACAGCTTTGTCATCTAGATCTACTAGTTTTACATTAAGCAAGCCCAATATTCCTCATCATATCGAGAAAATGGAAGTCAAATATTTTTAGTTTGTAGCCGAGAATAAAATTGTATTCAAAATCTTATCTAAAGTTCTTTTGCTGATTTCATGCTTTCAAAAAGATTCCAGCTTACAGAAATAAGATATATGGATTTTTAGTTACTCTAGCAAATTAAAATATCAAGTATAGAAAATATAAACAAGAATAGTTCTAAATGATGGTATAGAGTCTGCAAATCTCGGGCAAATCAAAGAAAGTATCATCCCACTAGCAATTTTAATGACCGTTCACCTATGCAAATGCCTGAAATAGGAACAGGAAATGTAATACCTTCTACTCATAAGCAAGCATGTTCAAAAAGAATTCTGAGAGATAGCTTTACAAGTGAGTTAGAATCAAGAGTTCTGACTCCTAGTTTGAAGAATCATGAGATCGCAAAAATTAGAGATGAAAACAATCAGAGATTTAGCAATTTGATGAGAGCAATTCAAGAACCTATTTCATACGAAGGACCGAAGTATAGATCAAAGAATCATGCCAAAATTGACATCCCAGATAGTCTTAAATGGGAATTTGATGATAAGGGACAGCAAGCTCTAGAAGAATTGCAACAGTTCTTTGAGAGAGATAGTGCATGAAGTGACGAAGAAAATAATAAAGAAAAAGAAGAAGAATCAATAAAATTTAGCATTACTAAGATGGGGTTTGACAAGCCAATTAAGCAAGAGACGAATAGCAAAACTTCTCCTATTAAATTTCAACTTTCTGATTTTCAAATTTTGCACACCCTTGGCAAGGGCACATCAGGAATAGTTAAACTAGCTAAGCATAAGAAAAAGAATTGTAAAGTTGTTTTCAAAATATATGAAAAATACAAACTAATCGAAAGTCAGTTAAAATAAAGCATTGTTTAAGGAGATAGAATTGCTAAAATCTGTATCTCACCCCAACCTCATCAAGCTCTATGATGTACTAGAAGATGAAAAACATATATATCTTATAATGGAATACATTAGTGGTGGCTCTCTTCAACAGCAAATGAGAGCAAGGTCAAAGAAAATAACTGAGGCCGAAGCTAAGAAAATATTCATGCAACTTTCGAGCGCAATAAAATATCTTCACTCAAATAAGTAAGTTGGTTATTAATCAAAATAGTATCTATCACAGAGACATAAAGTTAGACAATATTCTTCTTGACTTCAAGAAGAATATTAAAATTATCGATTTTGGCTTTAGCATTAACTGTAAACCTTCAAATAAGCTAAAGGTATTTTGAGGAACCCCATGATATATGGCTCCAGAGATTATCAGTAAGAAGCCATATCATGGTGGACCAATAGATATATGGGCTCTTGGAATAATCCTTTACACTTTACTTATTGGAAATTTCCCCTTCCAAGGAAGTTGAGAGTCAGAGCTATACTCAAAGATTAAACGAGGTGTGTTTAATATCCCTGATACGATATCTTTCACAATACGGAAACTAATCAGAAAGATGCTAACACTTGATCCTACCAAAAGACCCACAGCTATAGAACTCTACAACGACGACTGGATCAGAGGCGATTCCAAACACCTCAAAAAGATGACTTTAAAAATGATAAACGACCAATACTCCCAAAACCCTCTTGCCAAAATCCTGCAAAAATCCACCCCAAAATCCCTTCTATTCCAAACCCAGCACTTCCGGTCCTCAGCCAGGTCATCCTTCTCCCAATCCAAAGTCCCCTCCAACCCCGCTTCCTCTCCCAACCCCAAAAGCATGGGCAGCACGTACAAACAGATGTCTTCAAATCTGTTCAATTAGTCAATACAGTTCAGCCACAGTGGATTTTGAGGGGTTTTGGGGTTTTGGGGTTTTGGGGTTTTGGGGTTTTGGGG